CCAAAGCGAGCGCTCTGAACGGGGCTGTTTTGGGTTAGGGTTAGGGTTAGGGTTAGGGTTAGGGTTAGGCAGGGGGACTGAACTGCTATTGGGCTTCATCCTTATGGGATTTTGACCAAAGCTTGACACAGACATTACATTAGGACACCAGGGAACTAGCTTAACTTGTTGAAATAGGGTATAATATGTCTCTTTTAAAACAGCTTCATCACAGGGGATGCTTGGATTAAAGTTGTTGAGGATATTTTTAATAATGAAGAAGCTAACCTTCATTCTTAAGCTTGAGCAAGATAAGTTTTGAAAACTACTGGGAAAAAATTGAAAAAACTATTGAGAAACTTATGAACAATAATCTGTCATTTTTTTTCGCACTTTGCCTGCTGATAGGCCCTCCACAGTCCCAAATGTACACAATCAAATGATTAAAAACTTGGTTTTGCATAATATGTTATATTTTTAAGCCCCCAAGAGCCCCACCAGGTCAGGGCCCAATGGGAAGGGGGGGGGGCTCTTCCATTAAAGGTGAAATGACTCTGACATGCATCTCCAACAGAAACACCCCGAGAAAATGAGCAAATGGAGCCAAACCGAGCCGTAAAACAGATTTTTTTGGGTGCCAAATCGTCCTTTTTTTTCCTTTTCTGTTTTGACACATTTTTCAGCTTGGGGCTCCGGCTATTTTCTGGGGGCGTCACTCAAGCAGCAAATCCAACGTCAGAAGCAAAGGGCAGCCCAGTTTGTCGTCGGGCGAACAAACTGTGAAAGGCAGGCAGGGGGAGGGGGGCTCTGGGCCCCCCACTTACCTGGCCCTTCCCGTCCCTAGACTAAACCCCCTGAGTGCTCGTGAACTGGTCATGTTGTTATTTTTTAATTGTGTTACATTGTAGGTATATTAAAAGGAAACTAAAAAATGGTGCATTTACTTTTTTTTTTTCCGTCTTTGCTATTGATTGATTCCCGCTCCCGTTAACCATTTATCCTGTACCGTCCAAATCCCGTGATAACTAATTGACTGCCAAAGACGTCTATAGATGTCTTTTATGTTTTTCAACGAGAGTGGCTTGGGG